GGGCGAAGGTCGCTTGTTTTCGGTACACTCTAAGGGGTGGGCATGTGGTCGACAACACCCACGCCTCCAGGCTGGACGATCACAATGTTTTCGGAACATCCCTTAGGGTGGGCAAGTGACAAGACCAAAGTCCTTCGTTTATGGAACACCTCGATCAAGAGGTGGGTGAAGGTAGCTTGTTTTCGGTACACTCTAAGGGGTGGGCATGTGGTCGACAACATCCACGCCTCCGGGCTGGACGATCACAATGTTTTCGGAACATCCCTTAGGGTGGGCAAGTGACAAGACCAAAGTCCTTCGTTTATGGAATACCTCGATTAAGAGGTGGGCGAAGATCGCTTGTTTTCGGTACACTCTAAGGGGTGGGCATGTGGTCGACAACGTCCACACCTCCGGGTTGGACGACCACAATGTTTTCAGAACATCCCTTAGGGTGGGCAAGTGACAAGACTAAAGTCCTTAATAAGGAGCACACTTCAACATAATTGGACGACAATTAATTGCGTGTAATCAAGGACATCGAGAAAGCATAGGGAGCACATACCAACATGCCTACAAGAAATCATAATACAGAGCAGCTCAAGGAACGGAAAGTAAAAGCATTACACAAGACGAATAAGAGGAAATTAAGGTTTTCATTCCATGGTAAATACAAGATTACAAATCGAACTAAAATAAAAAGATACATAGTCAAAACACTAAAAAACTATTTAGGAGGAGCAGCGGTGGATGGAGCGGCGCCGGTCGACTGCGCGGCGGTGGTGGAAGATGAGGAGGCAACAGCAGAAGCTTGTGCAACAGTAGATTGGGCAACAATGGTCGAGGACGCGGCAGCAGCAGTTGACTGAATGTTGGTAGTCAATGGAGCAAAGGCATCAAACCCCAACTGAGCTGCTGTGGTCGAAGAAGCAATCGTAGAGGAGGAAGAAGCAAGGCAGGTCGAGTGCAAGGCGGCAGTTGAAGCGGAGAGAGCAGCAGAATGGGCGAGGACCGAGGCAGACGGATGAGAGATGGACGAAGGAGCATTGGTGGTCAAAGGTTGTGGAGGAAGGACGGCAACCGAAAGACGGACCAGGGGTGCCTCGCCTGGCCTAGGCAGGTCGAACGAGCTCTTCAAAGAAGGATCCCCCGCTAAGGTCCTCTCTAAAGACGCGGCCCACCAAGGATGATCGGCGGGCAGACTGGGATCACCGGTGAAGCTAGAAGGAGCAGAGGGAATTGCTTCCCATGTTTTGTCCTGGTCAAGCTCGCCAGTGAACCCCATCTCCTTCAGCTGGCGCTCGACCTCCTCCATGCTGTAGGTGTAGAAGTCCATCCTCATCTCAGCAGCCTCTTTGAGGAACGCCGTCGAGCATAGATAATCTTTGATTAACTGCTCCCGATAATCCTTGAGGAAATTTTGACCGACTTGGGTCCTCCACAAGGCTCGACGAGACTGCTCGATGGCAGTAATAGCAGCGGCCTCAACTTCTTTCTTTCGGCCAGCCCGCTTTACCTCGAGAGCCTTATCTCT